AGCTTGATTTTAGATATCCTCTTCCCCATATGCTTGGCCACGTGAAGCGGGTCAAAAAATCAGAGCGCTCCATTAGTATCCTTCTATGGCCATTGGAAGACACAAATCGTTGTTTCGACTTTTTGAGGAACTATTCCATCTTCAAAAAGGATCTTTTTACTGCAAGCGTGCCCAAACTTCCTCCTCGCACAAAAGAAAATTGGTTGGAAGCCAATCAGCTTTGGCCAGTGACATTGCACATCATTATTCCAAAATTCCCATCATGGGAGTCGTTTGACGGTCAATACAAGAGATTTGTAACCTCCAAAGTATTGAAGCCAAGCTCCACATTATTTAATCCACTTTCATTAAGTGTCGTTGTAGAGATCGGTCAAGAGAGCTGTCAAATTTCGATGCCTCTTCTTCATCCAACGATGCTTATTCTAAATCAACTTGCGTTGCTAATTTTAAAGGAAAAGCAGTCAAAGCCCCCTGATTCTGGATTGATTCCACCAAATGCATATCTTGCGACAGGATTTGACTTGATTCTGCAGGAGGAACCCTGCATAATGTTGGCTTTAGATTCTAATTATTTTAGGTGCTCCATGGCACTTGTGCATTCACGGATTCGCCGAGTGTTTTATGTCCGCTCCAACAGAAAAAGAGGTGGTCTCGGTGGATCGTCTGCAGAATCAGCGGTTCATACTAATCCCCAGTTAAACCATCATTTTGGTGTTTACGTGTTCGTAGAAAGTAGTCACTGTTAGAGAGAAGGGGGTAATTAATGGCCCAACTGAAACATGCCTATCTGCTCGTTTGTGTAATAAATTATTTAATATTTCTACTGTATGTCACGTTCATTGAAAAGATATTGCACTCCCTTGGATGGTGCGTCTAGGTGCGTTTGATAACTCCGTATGTGCAGATATTTCTAAAGAACCGAGTGTAGCACTGTCATTAACATTACTTTGTTGTAGAGTGGAGGAAAATGCATCCAAAGGCGGTCTTGACCTGGGCGTCCAAATATCTTCTGGAATAAATGCATCCGAAGGTAAGCTACGGATAAAGGATTCTCTCTTCTCTGCAATCCGCTTTCTGAGCCGGTTCTACAAATAATTGCAAGAACTTTACTAATTTTTCATCCTCACTTGCAAACTCAAGAAGGTAACAAAACTTTATCTCTTCAAAAGATGTATCTGCATGATAATAGCTATGATATCGAGAAAGGGTTCCCTTTGTTTCTTCTAGTAAAGCTGAATCTTTTTTTTCGGAACATTCTGACATCAGCATTGGGAGTGAATCAGCGGAGGTATAGGGACCATATCGATACATCTCCCGTAGATGTCCCGTGCTAGCTATTATTAGGAAAGAAAAGAAAACAAACTGGCTCTAGATAGCATGAACTTTACATATTGGAAGCATGGTGTCCTCCGATAATCCTCAAGAGACTTTGCAAATGTTGGGGAGAAAAATTGGTCATTGGTGCTCATGGTTGAAGAAAAAATTTTCTTTTAAATTATTTTCATTGAAAAAATTTATGTTGCCAATGAAGAAATTGCTATATACATTATCCAAGCGTTCTATATGTTGCACAAGCGAGGTTTATATATTGCCCACTCGAAGAATTTTAATCCTACCAACAGGTTGTACGTTATTTTTTTCCTCTACAAAAAGGATCGTGCCCTTTCGACCGTCACTAAAAGATCTCAATGCCCCACTAATACATCTCATTGATGCTAAAGGCTCCATTTCAAACGACATTTCTTCCTCAGAAATATTGAATAAATACGATGCGCAAAAATATGAGTTGCTTCAGGTGGGCATTCGAGATTCTGTTCCCATTATCAAGGTATTTCCCAAAGTCACGCCAAAAGATCCATTGCAATCTAGCAGAGAACCATCACCCCATCGTCAAAAACCTCGAGAAGAAAAGGAAAAAACGATAGAAATGAACTCTACCATTGGCGGAAATGATTTTGAACACAAGATGCATATGTTAAATTGTTTCCTTGCAAAGGTGATACGGGTCAAAGTGCTGCTAACTCTGCGGGGAACTTCATCTGCGCTTGATTTAGAAAATTTATTTGCAAAGATAAAGGCCCGCATCGACGCATCCGGTGTTGGAGAGGTTGTTGCTCCTGTGCAGCAAGCCGCAAAAAAGGTGCAATTTGTAGTAAGACCAAAGTTAACCCCGGAATATCCCTAAGGCTGATCGCTTTCTTAAGTGGATAATCTATTGCCAAATTTAGACTAGCTGTTGTGCCTATTAATATTAAATGCGGTGTTATGTGGTTTATTAAAGTTACCTTGTTCAGTTATCAAGGTTCATCTACATATAAGGCTATGAGAACAAATCTGCATTAACAACATCAATTGAGATGGAGAAGAAATCTTCAAAATGAGCTAATCATTGCTCGGGTCCGTCAAGGAGGGATCCTCTACTAACGTGGTATTGGAAGAGCTTTCTTGAGACGAGATAGCAGCTTTTTTCAACAGACGTTGTTGAATGTTATGTGTATTTGGTCTCTTTGCCGCAGCCGGAAATAACAGTGTGTTGCAGTAGAGAGATGGGACAAGTCTATGTGCTAATAAAGCGCTTCTCCTTTGCACATGGCGAATTGGAAACGTTCGTACATCCAAAGGGAAAGGTGGAAGAGCTGTTCTTCTTCGAGTCTCTGAAGACGGGGAGCTATCCAAAATCGGCGATGAAGTAGGCGCTCCAATGCTTGAGATAGCAATTGCCGCATCTTCTACTGAAATATTGTCCCTGCCCGAGAATTTGGCTGCAAGAACACAATTCAAGACCAGAAATTGGAGATACGAGAACACATTTCTCTGGAGTTCCTTTATTAAAAATTTGAACAAAATACGTACCTCCGTAGCACTGGCATCTAAAAGTATTGAATCATAAGCTGAAAGCCATTTTGTAGTAGGGAGTCCATATGCAGAATGAAAAAGCTCATCTGCTACCTGCGAAATGCTTTTACCGCATTTTCCAATTAGCGTAGAACGGCGAAGAGAGGTTGAAGGCGAAGCAGAGCTCTCCGATACCATTGAAATAGGGGATCGAGATGAGATCAAAGGTGTTGCTGGGGAGTTATTTACTGGTGTAGGGCTAGTGGCCCTTGGGGAAATTGATTTTCTTGTCATACAATCTGAGGGAAACTTAGATGGAGGGGGCAAGTTTTGGGAAGAAGCTTGCTGGTGGCCACCTTGAAGGAAATGTTGCTGTGAAGGAAAAGATGGGAAAACAAAATTACTATCAGGAGAGCGGCCGGTGATCGGGTAATCTACCATCATGGCAGACGTTGGCGGAACTCCAGAAGTATTTGGCGGAGATGAAAATACAGAGGGTGTCATCATCATCATTGATGAAGAATTAGGAGAGTGGGAAGCAGGATAAGACGGAAGCTGTTGGTGTTGTTGGTGATGTTGCTGCTGTTGGTGTTGTTGCTGTTGTTGGTATTGTTGCTGCTGTTGGTATGTCTGCTGCTGCTGCTGCTGATATGTCTGCTGTTGCTGCTGCTGATATGTCTGCTGCTGCTGTTGTTGCTGCTGCTGCTGATATTGAAACTGCTGCTGTTGCGGTGTCCTATATTGAACCATCGGGGAAAACTGCTGAGGAAGATGCTGATAAAAATAGTGAGGAGATGGTGCTGAATGCGGGGCTGAATTGTAATATGATGCTGTGCCTGGGGGTTGTAGCATTCTTAATGGAGCATTCATTGAAAAAAGAGATGAATTTACACTCTGTGGGTGCATCACTGCTGGTGATGAATTCATGGCCTGGTGATGAAGCTGAGGAGGCTGTACCGCCTGTGGAAATAGCCCAAAAGCATGATTGGCTTGGGGATGAAATCCTGGTGGTTGGCTTACATGACCATGAATGGATGGCGATGGGGTGGCTTGCGGATGCACAGCTGAAGAATTGAATTGCGATTGGAGATAAGAGAATTGGCCTGGAGCTTGAAAAAATTGGGTTGAAAACCCTTGGGGAGAAACAGTTGTAAGTGGCGAGTTTCCAGCGGACACTTGAGCTGCCATCATATTTGAGGGTGGCGAGATTTGTCGAGCTGAGGTTGAGGAAGCTGGGAAGGAAAATCCCTGCGAAAACTGTGTCGCTGGTACAGGTATTGTTCCCTGAAATGGATGGCCTTGCTGCTGCATAGGATGTGCCAACTGAATAGGTTGGGCCTGTTGAGAAAATGGTAATTGATTGATTGCTTGGGAAGATGATTGGGGGGTCGATTGAGAAGGTGGCGGTGGCTGCATTGATTGAGAAGGTGCAGGGGAGAAATATTTATTTGACAGCAGATCTTCTCCTGTATTAACTTCTGGACGAACACTTGAATCGATATATTTATTCCGAAATAGTAAAAGTTGACCCTCAAGCTCTGCTTGCTTTTTGGTGAGAAATGCTATTTTTTCTGGTGGCATTTCTGGCGAAGAAAGATGCGCCTTGATCCGTTCTATCCCAGACAACAGTTGTTGGTGATACTTTTGGATCAATTCCGCACGCGAGGGTGCAGGTACAGGGGCGGTTGCATGATTTTGCGACTCCATAGAACAATCTTGAAGATTGCAAATTAAAAGTTACATAGGTTTAATTGTACCACACCACCATACACAGAGGCCCAATGTAACTGCTATTAGCATATAAATAACCGCCACCGCATCAGTAGCATGCAGGCGCTAGTCATGGGGCTTCAACTCAATGGAAAGGAACAATAAATTTATTTTACTTCTTTTTAATGGCTTCCTCTTCTTCCTTGGCTTTGGCGCGCTTCTCGCGAATTCCGACGTAGCGAGCGGTAAGATGGGCATTATGGAGAGTCTCATAAGCACAAGCTGCTGCCTCTGCTGCTGTTACTTGGCGAGAAGATTCCGGCTGAAAAGTGTTTTTAGGGACAGGGAGAACAGCACAAATGGACTTGGTAGAATCTCCCATAGGCTGTTCCTTTTTTTTAGCGTCGAGAATAACAACTTTCGAAAGATATGCCTTGAGGCGCTGTACGTTCATCTCAAGGGATTCAGCTGAACGGTTTCGACGGCGATGATCGACAGAAATTCCAATACGGCGAGCATGATGCTTATCAAGTCCAGCAGCCTTAATTTCTTCAAAAGTAAATCCACGACCTTCCCTGAGCTTGGTGTTGTAACGAATAGTTGGGCATCTCACAGCTGGACGGAGTGAATCCAATGGATGAGGTGCAACTAAAGCTGCCTTTTTTTGGCGATTAAGACGACGGCGATGCTTTCGGCCAGCTTGATCAAACCATGTCTTTACTCGAACTTGCCAATGCTTACGAAGGTGGACATTCGGAAGCTGATTATTGTGCTTCATCTAAAAACCAAGTTAAAATGGATGAAAAGGTGGGGTGCATGATGATTTTGTAGGACGGATATCAAGCTTACGTTGAATTAATAGAAAATTTAAATTTAACCCACTTTTAAAGGTTAAATTAAACTAAAATTTTCAATCTCATTCCAATAAGGTAGCTTACCTTGCATCCATTATTCCCTCTATACAACTTACTTTTCATCCATCATGACATGGCATTTTCGGTGCCTTCTTTGCTTCCAAATTTATATGTTATTTTATCATTGCTTGGATTTTTACTCTTTTTTACCTATGAACCCTTCTAACTTGTTGTTTTAGATGAAACAGTCGGTTCAGACTAAACAATCAGTACAGACATTTGGTCGCAAAAAAAGCGCTACTGCTGTAGCCCATTGCACTGCAGGAAAAGGACTTATTAAGGTCAATGGAAAGCCCCTTGAGCTCGTTGAACCAGAAATCCTCCGCTTGAAGGTTTTTGAGCCCATTCTTTTGCTCGGAAGGTCCAGATTTTCCAACATTGACATCCGTATCCGCGTATCTGGTGGTGGTCACACCTCCCAAATTTATGCTATTCGTCAAGCCCTTGCCAAAGGAGTAGTTGCATACTATCAAAAGTTTATTGATGAAGCATCTAAGAAGGAAATTCGCGACCAGCTTGTCGCTTTTGACCGTTCGTTGTTAGTTGCTGATCCTCGCCGCTGCGAGCCAAAGAAATTTGGTGGTCCAGGTGCCCGTGCCAGATACCAAAAATCTTATCGTTAATTATATACTCATTTCCACCTCAATAAATGATAAGCTCATTATTTAAATTTTTCATTTTATGTTGAGATTTTTTCCTCTTTTAGTTCCGAAAGGTGGCTCTTTTAGCGCCATTCTCAAGGCATCTGCAAATAACGCCCCTTTCGATGTAATCAAAGAATTTGCCATTTTGTTAAATCAAGCCAATTTACGAGGATTGAGATGTTCAGATTCTTTGGCAAAGATCGAGTTTCTTGATAAGGAACCTACTATGTCTGAGCGAAGCCGAATGGTTCCTGCAAAAAAAGAGCACATTCTTAAGCTTATGAAGGAAATGCCCGAAACTATTAAAAATTGGAGGAAAGATAGGAAGTTGCTAAAGGAAGCTTCTAAACCGAAGTATCCCTTTTAGTAAATTTCAGGATTAATATGCCGATCCGACAGCGTGCAAGTCAGACAGCTTTATTATAAATAAATAGACTGCTACAAATATTCAAATTTTCTATCATGATAACCCTGGACATTTAGGCATCATTGCAAATATGATGAAGCGACGCTACCACTCTCTCTCACCTACCATAAGTTATTGTGTTGAATTTAACTGTCTTTCCCAACCCTAAATTTTGGGCCAAAAACTAAAATTTGGGTTGCAATTGCCTAAATTCGACTTTTACTGCCTTTTGCTGCTGATTGGTACGGTACCACCCCAATTAAGATGATCTCCTTACTTTAACGGAAGAAGCAAAAAATATTCATTAATATGCTATCCTCTCCTTTGCAGGCGATGGGGCCTAAATGTAGCAATTCTCGGCTGCTAGCATTTGCATGGTTCTTTTCGCTTTTCTTTGCATGTCTGGCTTGCCTTCCTATCTACAGCGTAGCTTGGATGGCTGTCCCCAATGACGGTGGAATTAAAAATGTAGATCCTGGCCATTCATTAGATGCGATAATGGATATTGGCACAATGGAGCCAACGCCGGTACAATTTATGCCACAGCAAAGCCCATGCCCCGCGCCTGCTCCTGCTGCTGTTGCACAGAGACAGGCACCATCCCCCTTGGAAGAAGTTACACCAACAAAACACTCTGATGCAAAAAATTGCCATTGCGGCTACTCGGATGTGGCAGATGAGAGTTTTTTTTCAGTGTTAAACGGAATCATCATTGCAATCAAATTCACGGTGTCGCTCCCGTGGTATCTCTTATCGCGAGGTTTGGAGTATTCGCTTGTTGCAGCTCATTGGATGGTAGGTCGTACCATTTCTCATCCCATTGCCTCAATTTGGGGCTATGGATTCGTTCTATTTGTTTCTGTATGGGTTGTTGATTCCATGGGGGGAATCGCTGCGGTTGCCACCGAGTTTTGTGGGTGGCTCAATCATCGAAATCAATTTAGTGAACAAATACATACAAAGGTTGTTGCCAAGACACGTACGCATGTTTTCGAGGTACCCGAAAAACAAGAGAACTTCCAAATGAATAGTGGCGAGGCGGTTGAAGAGTCACAAAAACATACGACCAATATAGAAGCTGCCCATGGCCGTTCAAAAATCATGAAACAAGGCCAAGCGAAGCATAAAGAAGGGTTGCATGAAGCAAAAAGCACCTCCAAGAACTTGTTAGTTAAAAAAGGCGCAGAAGGGCACCATGAAGAAAAAAAAGTTGCCGAGAGCAATGAGCAAGTCAAAGGGAAAAAGAATATCCGAGTTAGGGTTGTACCTGTGGAAGCCCCTTCAGATGGAGCAATAGAAGACAATGGTAACCAACAGTCCCCTGAAGAGGGTGTAGAAGGTGAAGAAGATGCAGCGCAGAAAGAGCAGCCTAATGAAGAGGAGCCCGATGTACAATAATGTCAAAGTATCGTTTTCGATCTCCCCACTCTATGTACAGCATTGGTAGATTCAACAGAAATAAAATACCTGACATGCATGTTAGTGCCTTTTACATAGCTATCTGATCGAAATTTTCGTAAATAGCACGCCAGTCGCAACAACATCATCATCAGGATCATCAACATCATCATCATCATTATGCATCTTAAACGGCATTGAAGATCGCATTCGTAATGCAATCACATATAGAAAACCCGAGTTGATGTGACTACCACACCTGCCACAATAATATTAAAGACAATGCAGATTTATTAGAACCATTGAAGACCACCAGCGGGTGACGGGGATTCCTTTCCAATGTCATCGTCCCAAGATGACAGTGGTGGTGGTGGTGATTGGGAGCCCGTGTTCCCTGTTCGTGTCGAAGAAAAGTCCCAAGAAGACGGGGAGAGTCGTTGCGTAGACGCTGAGGACGTTGAAGCCCGGATTTGAGTGTGGTGCTGATACGGTTGACCGGAAGTGCTACGGGACTGGCGGCCAGGACCTCTCTTGGTATGATGATTTACTCCTGTTCGGAATGCAATGGCCGAAAGGCGATCCAAAAACTCAGGTACTCGCTGACGTGATTCTCTAAGCAAAGCGGAAAGTCCAGAGGCAAGCGGGGCATTTTCATGCGAAAAAAAGGAGATCGCTGTGCCAACGTTACCGACTCTCCCTGTTCTCCCGATTTTATGGACGTATTCATCAAGGTCGTTAGGAAAATCATAAATGATCACCGTTCTAACATCTGGGATATCGAGACCGCGAGATGCCACCGAGGTGGCCACTAATACTGGGCGTTCGGCTGAGCGAAACTTGCGGAGAGCTGCCTCTCGCTCTTCCTGTGTACGATCCCCATGAATAGAAGTAGCCAGAATGCCTTCCCTGACCAGGGCATTTTCCAAGATATCTGCGTCACGCTTCTTCTCCACAAATATCAGCGTGCGATGATTGGGGGACTGAGTTGAAGTAAGGATGTCGAGTAGATATGACTTTTTGTCACATTGCTCAACATCTACAACGGTCTGAATAATATTTTCAGAGGTAGATCCCACGCGGCCAATCTTCAAGAAAATATAATCTGAAAGGAAGGCCTTGGCAAGGGCTTGGATTTCTTTAGAGAATGTCGCGGAAAAAAGGAGCGTCTGGCGGCTTTCTTTTGGTGGCATCTGGCATTCAAGAACAATTTTTCGAATGTCAGGCTCAAAGCCCATATCAAGCATTCGATCTGCTTCGTCAAGCACCAAGTAGCGCACAAAAGAAAGGTTTACACGAGACCGCTCAATCATGTCAACGAGGCGACCAGGGGTCGCCACAAGAATATCGGCACCCTTGGCTAGCGTATGAATCTGTGTGCGGATGTCTGTGCCCCCATAAACAACACAGGGAGTGACCCAAGAGCGGTACGAAAATTTGAGGGCCTCTTCAAAAATTTGCACAGAAAGTTCTCTAGTTGGGGAGAGGATTAAAGCAAGAGGAAATGCCGTCGATGGGCGAGACCTAGAAATGGAAATAAGATCCGTGGATGGTCCATGAGTAAGCAGTTCTGAAATTATGGGGAGCAGGAACGCAGCGGTCTTTCCAGAGCCAGTTTGCGCACATGCCATGATGTCCTTCTTGTTGGTGACAATTGGAATCGCAAATTTCTGAACGGGTGTCGGCTTGGAATATCCGGCGAGAGAAATGTTTTCAAGAAGCTGCGAATGGATTCCACACTCTGTGGAAAACGATTCGATTGGAGTGGGGACGTTGTTCCCAGATGCATCGACAGGGATTCCGTCATATTTAGAAAAATTGATACCGGTATCAACATGGCGCTCACCAAAAATTTTTGTCTCAAAAATGGGATCTCGAGGCCGAATCCTTGTATCATACCGAACAAAATAAGTTGAAGATGTGGATGCTTTTTTACCGAGACCCCTATCTCGGTTCCTTCCGGCAGATGAGACAGATTCAAAAGTGTCCCAACGACTGCCACTTTCAGATATTGTACAGCTTTCTCCAGTGTAAGGATTTACGTATGAAGAGGGCTGTTGAGTTTTTGTGAATGCTTTTGTCGCTGGCTCTTTATTTCTTAGATGTGGGGGCACATAGGTGGTAGTGATGCTTGTGTCAGATAGAGACTGTATCACCTGCTCAACGCTTTCAACGGTGTTTGATTTAGAATTAGATATTTCCTCACTTTTGGGTGATTCAAATGATACCACTACCGTCGACCCGGAAACGGAACGATGAACTACCTCTGAAGAGGGGGAGGTGGTTTTGGATGTTTTTGCTTTTAAAGAAACGATCCTTTCATCTGAAGGCTCGCCTTTAGAGCGGCTTAAAAGGGTCGATTGGACAGAAGAAGTGGATGTCGATGGGATCTTTTTAATAGCAAATGGGGATGATTTCCCTGGTTTTGGCAATGAAGAGGATGAAGATGAACTTTTCAGATTTGGGTGCATAATAATAAAAAAAGAAAATAAACCTGGAAAGCAAAATATAAAATCCCAAAGGCCAAATATAAAATTAAAATGTAACCCATAAAATGTATTTTAATTTGCAATTTTCATATCATCAGATGAGTGGTGGAATGGCATCAACATCGTCTTCGTCCTCATTTTCGTATGGTTCTTCTGCCCCCTATGGGGTTTCAGCCTCTGCAGAGGGCCAACAGATGGTAAATATTTGATTGATTTTGTTAACCATTAGGAATCAAAGTTCGAAATTAAGGTTTGATTCCATGGATTTATTCAGAAAAAACACACAGGCAGATCGGAGCGTGTCAAGTGTGTGGACTTGCATCCTACAGAGCCGCTTATGCTTTGCGCACTATATTCTGGAAAGCTGGCCATTTGGAATTATGAAACGCAAGTATTGATCGATCGATAGACCCATTTATCTTAGAACCTCATAAAATCCTTTGATTGCTCTTCAATGCCTGTACGCTGTGCAAAGTTCATTTCACGCAAAAATTGGATCATCGCAGGCTCGGATGATTTCCACATTCGGGTGTTTGCTCTTCATACACACGAATGCATTGCTGATTTAGAGGCACATTCAGACTACCTTCGGGGCCTTGCTGTGCATCCAACCAAGTCTATTGTTCTTTCTTGCTCTGATGATCTTTCCATCAAAATGTGGGATTGGGACGCCAATTGGAGCTGCGTAAAGGTATGCAAAGGAAAAAGCTTTTAGATTAGAAATTTGAAGGACACTCCCACTATGTCATGAATGTGGTTTTTAATTCCAAAGACTCCAACATTTTTGCTTCGTGTTCCCTGGATCGAACAATTAAAGTACACCTGGCATTTATTATCTTGTTGTAGGTTTGGAACCTTTCTTCCTCGCTCCCAAATTATACTCTTGATGGACATGATAAAGGGGTGTGCGCAATTGAGTTTTCCCAGTCTTCTGATAAACCTTTTCTGATTTCCGGTGGAGATGACCAACTTGTGAAGGTGTGGGATTATCAAAATAAGATCTGTGTTCATACCCTGAAGGGGCACTCTAACAACGTCACGGGTGTCATATTTCATGGCAGCCTTCCATTGTTTCTAACAGCCTCGGAGGATGAAACTCTGATGGTTTGGAGCGCAAATTCATTTAAGCTCATCCAGACAATAAAATTAAAGCTGGAAAGGCTTTGGGGATTATCCATAATTCCAGGGACTAGTCTTATCGGAGTCGCTGCTGATTTGGGATCTTCCGTATTGCAGGTAAGTCTGGCGCCAAATTTTATGCATTTAGATTGGCAGAGATACGCCTCCAGTGTCTATGGATGCCACCGGGAAAGTAATCTGGGCAAAAGGAAATTCAGTCAAAATTGCAAGTGTCTCCGGGGTCCTTACTGGTGTGCCATCTGGGGAGATAGGTTTGAACAAAAGGAATTCTAACATTTCCACTTTAGATGGGCAAAAGGTTGCTCTTAGCGGGAAGGATTTTGGCCAGTGCGATCTTTATCCCACATCGCTGGAATACTGCCCTAGTGGAAGGTTTTTTCCCAAAATAACCGTTGAAATAGGTTTATTTCTGCCGTTGGGGACGGAGAATACGTCATATATACTGCTATTGCTTGGAGAAATAAGACTTTTGGCAAGTGTATAAGCTTTGCATGGAGTGCAGATTCTTCATTGTACACCAATTGACATCCTGATTTATAGTTATGCCACTCTGAGCGCATCTGGAATCAACATTTTCAAGCAATTTGAACCCTCTTTGTCGATCAACAGCTCATATTCTGCTTTGTTTGGAGGCGTCTTGGTTGGGGCATATGCTGCTAGAGAATCTGTTCTTGATTTTTACTTGTGGGACTCATCTCGACTTGTACGCCGCCTTGGTGTTGATGTTGCCAATGTAAATATAGTGTTTAAAGATAGGTATTTTGGTCAGAATCTGGGGATCAAGTGGCCATTGCGACTGTTCAAGACGGATTTTTTATTTTGAAATATAATGCAGACATCGTATGTGCTTACATTGAGCAGGGCATTGAAGTACCTGCCGATGGGATTTCAGATGCTTTTGAGGTCTCGTTTGAGTGTGTAGAACAGTTTGCTTCCATTTATTTATCAACGATAGGATATCTTCCGGACTATGGCTTGGGTCTGCATTTGTTTTTGTAACTTCGGTGACCAACAAATTAGGTGCACATGTCTTTCTCTTATTTTGTAGCCATATTTAGTGAAGGTGGCGTGGTTTGCACTATTGCCCATCTGCCTTCTTCGTATATTCTTTTACGATATTTAGCAAAGCAAGAGAGAATCTTTTTTGCAGATAAGGATTGCAATATTTACTCGTACTTTCTCTCGTTATCTGTTGTGGAAATCCTGCGCCTTGTAAGCGCAGGCGCCATTGAGGAAGCTAGGCTTTATTATGAGAAAGTCCCAAAAATCTCAAAAGAATTTGTGTCCACTTTCCTTGAAACGAAGGGGTATCTTGAAGATGCCCTAGAATTTACTGCCGACCAAATGAAAAGATTTTCGCTGTCACTTGCCACTAGCAATCCAGCTCAAGCTTTGAAAATCGCAGAAGAGTCTTCTGGTACATCCTCTGGGAAGCTCATGTGGCAGAATATTAGTACCTATGCATTGAGTACATGGGACCCTGCTTTGGCAATGAGGGCAATCGACAAATCAGGCGATCTCTCCGATGCTTTTGTTATGAAAAGAATTTTTGGTCTCCAAATTGATGTTGAAAATTTGCCTATTGAAAACAATTTCTATTCGTTCCTAATTTCGTTCCTAAACCTGTCACCTAAAGCAGCCTTTGATGCACTGATAGCAAGCAAAAAATACCCAGAAGCTGCGCTTTTTGCTAGGGCATGGCTCGATCCCGAATCGCTGCAATATGCCATTGGGTTATGGAAGGCGCATATTAAAGAGACATATGCTTCGTGGAATGATTTTTCGGAGACCATAATGGATATGCATTCAGCTCCAGATTCCTTTTCTTTTCTCTCGGAAAATATTTCTGACAAAAGAGATACTGGAAAAATGGCTTTTAACGCGGCAGAGAAAAAAGAACATCTTGCAAAAGAGGCCGATGAGATTGATCAAAATTTTGGCGATAAATTTGATGAGGGTTTTGGTGACGAATTTAATCTGCTTGATACAATGAAAAATGTCCATATATCTGATCGCGACAAACACCAAGGCCCGGTTACATTGCCTACACAGAGCCCTCTTCAAGATATTTCCTTTGATGACGATGATCTCTTTTTAGAGCCTTCTTGTATCATCCAGAAAGATTTGTCATCAATGGCTGACTCTTCATCTTTTATAGAAAATGAAGATATATTAGACTCTTTCAGTGTGCTAGACGAACCACAGCCTATGACGCCATTATATATTGAGAAAGAAGAGCAAGAGAAAGAGCAAGAACAAGAGCAAAAGCAAGAACAAGAGCAAAAGCAAGAGCAAGAGCAAGAAAAAGGAAAACACGAAGATCAATGGGATTTAAGTGACCAGTCTTCCATTAAACAAGATCTTGAAGATGTCAGCTTCGATAAAGAAATAGCCTCGTTTTCCCCATCAGCTCACGATCAAGGCCAAAGTCATTTTATAAACTCTCCTGCTTTTGAGCCAGAGGAAGAAAAGATCTCGATTGAATCCACTGAGGGGTTTGATAATTTTGAGCCCTTTAATCGAAAAGAACATAAAGGTGCTTACATTGGATTTCCGATTGATCAAAAAGAAAGCATTCCAGATGTTGAGGAGGAATGGAATTTGAGTACGCCGGAACAATTTGATGATGTTGGCGATTTTAAGTATAAAAAAAAGTCTGTAACTTGGTCTTCAGAACTACCGCACATGTCTTTTTCGTCAATCGGAAATCCAA